CCATTTTTTTTTAATTTTAATTTTAATTTTTTTAATCCTCACCGGAGGACATTTTTCCATTTTTTTTTTCAGGTAGAGTGGGAGGGAGAGAGAGGAACAGAAGGAGAGAGAGAAACATCGATGCAAAAGGGACACATCGAGTGGCTGCCACCCGCACGACCGACCAGGACCGGGGACAAACTGCAACCGAGGTACGTGCCCTTAGCGGGAACCGAACCCGGGTCTCTCAGGACCACAGGCCGACGCTCTAACCGCTCAGCCAAACTGGCCAGGGCTCCATTTTTTGTTCAGATAGAGCAGGAGGGAGAGAGAGAGAGAAACATCGACGTGAAGGGACACATCGAGTGGCTGCCACCCGCACGACCCAACCAGGGCCGGGGACAAACTGCAACCGAGGTACGTGCCCTTAGCGGGAACCGAACCCGGGTCTCTCTGGACCGCAGGCCGACGCTCTAACCGCTGAGCCAAACTGGCCAGAGCTTGTTTGTCTTAATCACAGAGTCGTTGTAGGGTGCTGGGAGGACTTCCAGTCCAGAATTTGCCTCCCAAGTCATCATTATCCCAGTCACCCTTATCCTCTCTGTCACCTGGCAGGAAATGCACCTGTTCTCCCGTGGACGTGATCCGTGTCCACCCTTCCTTCCAGTCCCGTGACCACCTCCTTGTCCAAGCCTAACCTCATCTTTGGACTATTATCAAACACACACGCACGCACGCACACGCACACATACGCATGCATGCATGCGCACACGCACACGCATACACAAAAGTGTCTACCTGGTTTTGTCATCCCTAGGTTTCCTCTTAAGAACCAGGTTGACAACCCCCACCAGATCTTTCCAGACCCCTGTTCTGCATGCCACACTGCTGGGTTCAGCAACAACCTCCAAGTCTTCTCTTGCTCAGAGGAAAATACCCACCCCCCAAGAAGGGCGTTCTGGCTGACCGTCCATTGTATCTTCCATGACTTGTCCTCTTGGATCATCTGCGCAGGCCAACGGGCCTCTTCATTTCTGCCTCCGTGCCTTTGTTTATTCTGCTCTCAAGCCTGCACAGTTCTCCTCTATGCCGTTTGCCTCTGAGCCCTTTCCTGCTCGTGGGAGTCCTTGATCTCTAGAAGCTTTTTCAGCAGGTCCCGGCTCATGGCGAACCTCCTTTCCTCGGAAACCCCTTGGAGAACCTACTTATCCGTGACCCTGGGCCATCTAACCTCTTCAGCCTCAGTTTTGTTTTCCATAAAATGGGTCTAATAGTAGGTCCCTGCCTCCCAGGGTGGTTGTCCGGGTTAAAAGATACAACACACATGATAAACTTAGTGTAGTACCTGGGACCAAGCCACAAGGCAAGTAGTCAATGAATGAAAGATAATATTAATAATTAAGGTTGTTATTTTTGTCACTACATGATGCTCTGTGTTGGTTTGCTGTCTCGTGTGATCTAGACATCTTGAGAATGGAGATCAAGTCATGTCATGTTGACTACAATGCCTTAAACACCAGAGAACCTGGGAATCTTTTGTTGAAGATGGGTGAACTGTAATCCAGGAGTCACAAGCTTGGTGTCAATCTCGGCTCTTCAGGGGTTGAACTTGTGACCTTGACTTAGTTCAGGGACAAGAGAAATTGGAAGAGAGTCCCAATCTCTGCCACTGCTGTTCTTTTTGAACTTGGCTCCAAACCAAAACCTGAGATTGATTTTCTGTGTTAATTTGAACACATCCTTTGGTCCTCTCAGCCCTCAGTTTCTTCATCTGTGAAATGGGGAGAATAATCCTCCTTCTCTATTGGCTATGAGAATAATCAAGGTACTGCTTGTAAAACGCTTACCTTAATAGATAAATTTATTTGATCTATTGTTCCTATGCCTCTCTCGTAGCTTCTTCTGGTAGCCTCAGATATTCCTTGGCTGGTAGATGGTGTCCTTCCTGTGTCTTCACGTACTAGTGTCTGTCTCTGCTTTTCAATTTCCCCTTTTTATAAGGGCACCAGCCATATTGGATTAGAGCCCACCCTAATGGCCTCATCTCCATTACCGCTATAAAGACCATGTTTCTAAATAAGGTCACGTTCTGAGGTACTAGGAATTAAGGTTTCAACTTTTCTTCTTCTTCCTTTTTTTTTTTTTTTATCCTCACCCGAGGACATTTTTCCATTTTTTATTCAGATAGAGTGGGAGGGAGAGAGAGAGAGAGAAACATGGATGTGAAAGGGACACATCGAGTGGCTGCCACCCGCACGACCCAATCAGGGCCGAGGACAAACCGCAACCAAGGAACGTGCCCTTAGCGGGAACCGAACCCCGGTCTCTCTGGACTACAGGCCAGTACTCTAACCACTGAGCCAAACCAGCCAGGGCTCAACTTATCTTCTTGGTGGGGTGGACACAATCCAATGGAAAATGATTCATAGTTGTATCCTCTAGAAAATTCTGAAAACATAACTTGGCATTTCTCGATGAAAGAGAAAAAAAACAACAATAACATTGGGCAGAAATTCTTCCTTTCTTCACTGCACTTGACATTCACAGTTATTTATTTATTTTTAACTGCATCAGTGTAATCAGTTTTGAGGAAGATCAACTTCTTCCTGCAAAGCAAGTCCTAGGACCTTTACCCTCAGTGGTATTTCCCTCATGTGCCTTTGGAATTGAAACTCAATCATTTTAGGTTCATGACATTTCTCAGAGCCCCCAGAATGGAAATAACATACCAGTCCTCTGGAAGTTGGCATTCTTTCTCCATTTTTTTTCAATCCTCACCCGAGGATATTTTTCAATTGATTTTTTTTACAGATGGAGTGGGAGGGAGGAAGAAAGTGAGAGAGACACATCGACTGGTTGCCTCATGCATGACCCCAACAAGGGCTGGGGATCTAACTGCAACCGAGGTACATGTCCTTGACCACAGTTGAACCCGTGACTCTTCCATCCATGGGTCAATGCTCTAACCACTGACACAAACCAGTCAGGGCATCTTTCTCCATTTTTTATATCTCTCTGAAAAACTCTGTTTATATGTGATTTATATTCCTCCTGTGGTCCCTAAGTGGATATGATAACAACAGATTTGGAATATTAATCTGACATGGTTCAGGCCAGTATGGTCAAATAAATTATTTCCTGGTGATGGTAGAAAATCTGAATGGATAAAGTGAGAGTCAGTTCTTAGTAAATATTTCTTGTTCACTCTTATGACGCCGTTTCTCCAAGTATAGTCCACTGGCTTCCTTGTGGTGTTTATGGGAAAAATGCAGATTTCCAGGTCCTACACCCACTTTGAAGATTCAGAGTCTTTGGGGGTGGGATTTATATTTCTGACGAGTTCTACCGGTGCCCCGAGTGGTTCTGGTCCACCCTGCTCTGGGGAACCGTTGGTCCTGGGAAACCCCCAAAAGAAATGTGTTAAGTCAAAGGAATTCCAGAGCTAGGGTCTTTCCAGGGCTGAGGGTGAGCAGAGAGGTGGGGGGCAGGGGCCCAGAGATGCTCTGTGGGCAGGGGAAGGGGTCCAGCTGCAATGGTGAGGACAGGTTCCAGTCTGTTGCGAGGTGACACCCACCAAGCTTGATGAAAAGACAGCACAGGTTTGAGATGTGACAGGGAGACCTGAAAAGGTTGATGGTGTATGCACGTATTGGCAGCTGGGTCTTGCTGGGGACTGGGTTTCTGGTGGTCCCAAATAAGAGATCTGAGCATCCATCTGTGTCCGCGGTCTGGCGGCAGGGGAGAGATGGAGGAGAGTAAGGGAAGTAGGAGGGATCAGACCTCCAGCCCTGAGGGACTGTTCAGTGAGCAGCTGGGCCTCACTGTGTGAAAACTCAGATTTCTGAGCTTGAATGAGCCCTTCTGTGTGCTCTGGGAATCTATATTTCTAAAGCTCCCCAGTAATCACAAGTGACAGTCGCTTGGAGCAGCATTTGGGAAAAACTGACTTTGGGAACCCCTGGACCTGGCTGTGTGACCTGGACCTAACTCCATCTGAACCCCAGTTTCTTTATCAGTAAGATGAAGATGCAAATGCCTTTTCCTTCCTCTTTTGAGGGTCGTTAGAATTAGGGATAAGAGATAGGACACACCCAGCAAGTCGTTACTAACTGATGGCTCCAAACCTTATGTGAACTGGGTTTCTAGAAAGGTAATTAGGGTAGTGTGTGCCTGTCCATTGGGCAGTGGAGTCCATGATTAGAACTGGGATATACAGAAGGGTCTTGGCTCTGACAATACGGGGTCCTGACTTCCAGGATTGGAACTAGAAAAATAGAGAGCAGCAATGATGTTAGGTTTCAGCCGCATCTGCCATGCAGGTTTGGCACCGTTGTAAGCACATTGAGCCCAACTTCAGGAGTTCAGTACTATTGTTAGGCCCATTTTAGAGATGAGACAAGTGAGGCTGAGAAAGACGCAGCCATTATGTGGCAGAATCCAGTTTCCAACCAAAGCTCTCTGGCTCTGGGTCTTCAGCCGTGGTTCCTGCTATTCAAGCCAAGTACAAGGTCAGAGTGGCCTTTCAAACCACAAGGCTGAGTTTTGAAAGTAACCTGGGCCCCGGGAAACATGGTCCTGGATATTTATTTATTTGTTTTTGCCATACATTTCTAGATATAAAGTTGCCCAACTCCTTCATAAAAAAGTTGGAAAAGCTGGTGTTTTAATAACGGAAGCTGAGCTGTAGTAAACCTATATTGTTGCTAAAGGCGTGATACATTTTAAGAGACACTCTGTAAGGCAAAATTGTCTTGTATTGAAACCCTGTTGGCCCCTTTTTGTTTTATTATTGTGTATGATGAAGACTTGACTCCTCGTATGGGTGAATCAACACTGCAAAGGGCCCCCATAACCCTGTTATTTTCTTACTCTTTGTCTCAATGTTCATTCATTCCCTGCGAATCCAGGTGTCTCATCAGAATTTCCTACACACGAAACACTGACATTAGTAAACATCTTTGTTTCATTCTGAGAGTGTTTGTTAGAATTTCAGCACTTTGTAACCCTCTTCTCTTTCCCAGGGCATAACCTTCAGTAACAGAACCAACCAGGCCGGCCAACTTCCAGGTCCTGCTGGTGCCTTGTCAAGGAACCCAGGTGGACCCATTTCTAATCACCATCCCCCAACACGACGTCTCTGGGTCACTGACGGAGACCAGACCAGTCCAACAGACACTGACTGCAGAAGCATACTTGGGTTGCCTGGCGCAAATCTGCTCTCACTGAGAGACATAGGGAGAGAATACAGGTGTCCCTTTTACCCAAGAAGCCGCACACACGCATTCTACATTTGAACCTCTGCCCATAGAATGGATGATGGTTATTGAAACAGCCCTGACCTCTGCCACCGCTCTCTGGAAGATATAGCTCAGGAGGCTACCAGGCAGTCCTGGAGGCAAAAGATGGATGACTATAAATATCAGGACAACTATGAGGCCTATTCCCACAGTGATGGCTATTATCCGGGCCAAGAGTCCAACCCAGAAGAGGACGCACAGAGTGATGTTACCGAAGGCCATGATGAGGAGGATGAGATCTATGAGGGCGAGTACCAGGGCATCCCTCACCCAGATGATGTCAAGGCCAAGAAGACCAAGATGGCGTCTTTCAGGGCAGATGACCTTCGAGACCAGGCAGAACTGATGGCCGAAAGGATGGAAGATGAGGAGCAGTTGGCTCACCAGTACGAGACCATCATTGACGAGTGTGGCCATGGGCGTTTCCAATGGATCCTCTTTTTTGTCTTGGGTTTGGCCCTGATGGCTGATGGGGTGGAGGTGTTTGTGGTGAGTTTTGCCCTGCCCAGTGCAGAGAAGGACATGTGTCTGTCCAGTTCCAAGAAAGGAATGCTTGGTAAGTAGAAATTTCCAACGATCATTGTTTTCGCGGCATTAAAATAGGAAGGGGGTCACTGTTAGGCACCTTAAATCTGTCACACTACCCTTTCAACATTATCATCTTACACACAATTTTCCACGATTGGCTCATGTTCACACAGTTAGTGAATATCGGAGCTTAGATTTCTATTCCGTTCTCTCGGACTCTCAAACTCTTAGTTCTTCTTCCAAATATTGTGGCCTCCTTGAGAGTCTGATTTCTCGCTTCACATGTGACCATCTTCCATACCCAAATGACAAACACATTTTGTGAGTGGCAGGCCGGAGGCCTCTTCCACTTGGTGCTTTTATCCGTGTCCTTCCAGAATCTCCGCTCCTGGTTTCTCTTGTATATGAGTGTTACGGGCCGAATGCCCATGTGTCTTGGGGATGAACGCTGGGCTGAGCAACCTATGGAGCCCCCCGCAGGCTGTTGGGAACCACGTGGCTAAGCACAGATGGATTCTGCAGGGTGGAGAGCCAGCTTTGCAAATCAAAGATGAGTCTAGTACTCTCAGAGCCAAATGTCAGCGATCAGAAGCAGAGATTTTGTGACGTTAGAGAAAGGATGGACACCCACAGTGTAGCAGAGAAGGGGTTCATCACAATATAGGCAAGGATTTGTCCTGGTTGTTCAATGTCCCGCAAAAACACATTCAGTCTCTAAATTTAGAGTCTGTGCAATTGATGGTTTAGCAAATGTACATTTATTGAGAACTTACTGAGTCAGGTGGTGACTCAAGACTGAAACATACCAAGGACTCAAAATCTATTTAGCAACTTAGTTTATTTATTCAACAAATATTTATTAGTTGTATCCTGTGTGCTATAGTCACTGTGTTCAGCCCCTGGGGACCTTGGGGAGAAAATAATGAACTAGACAGACATAGACCTTGCCTCTCAAAGAACTTAAATATAGCAGGACAAACATTTATTAACAAACACAGAGACTAATATAATTACTGTAGGGATACATGCTAAGAAATACCTGTGCTTTTCTGGTCCCCAATACTTGCTTTCCAGCAGGGGTTGGCAAATAATTTTTTGTAATGGCCCAGATAGTAAATATTTTAGGCATTGCAGGCCCAGATGGTCTCTGTCACCACTAATTAACTCTGCCTCTGGAGCACAAAAGCAGCCATAGACAATACGTAAGCAAATAGGCATGACGGTGTTCTAATAAAACTTTATTTACAGAAAAAGGCAACATCAGGATTTAGCCTAGAGGCAGTATTTGGCGCCTGATGTAAAGTCATTATAAATAAAATTGGGGTAGACAATATTTAAAAAGCTGTATAAAGAATGATCCCTGGGGACTTTTAAAAGAAGAGTTTTGTCCATTCCTGCTTAACTATAAGGACTATTTAAAATGATTAGAAAACAAATAAAATAAATAAAATGATTAGAACTGTGTCAGTTATGATCCCTGGGAATGCAAAAGAGACCAAGTATACACAAACCGGAGAAATGACTTGAGAAGCAGAAGCTGTCGACTGGAGTTTTTAAACACCAACAGAATTTTAGTAGACTTAAAAAAAAAATTATTATTTTAAAAATTCTGCTAGGTGCCTTTAAGTTTGAATATGTATTTTTATTTATTTTTTTACATTTATTTCATGGATACGTATTTTTAAAAGGGCACAAAACAGACCCCCCCAACCCCGATCCAAAGCAAACCATCCTCAGTTGCTCTAAACATTTGCAAGATGTTGATGTATTCTGTGGGTTTCATTCTGAAACCCCGGGTCCCTGGGAGTCCAAATTGGCAGTGTCAGCGATGATTTCACGCCCTGTTGGTCCCCCTGCCACTCTGGTGCCTGGCAGTGTCATTAACAGAGCAGCAGCCTGGTCGACGCTTCTGCTGGCTCCCAGGGCACATGCGGGGAGTCTAGGGGACGTGGTCTCAATCTGGCGAGCCACATCCGTGCAGTCTTGCATTCAGCATTCGCCACGAAGATGCTGTATCTCAGCCCAAGACAGGTAGGCAGACTATCGGAGCAGAGATGGATTTCTATGTACATCTGGGGCCCCATTTGCAGACAAGGGAATGAGCATCTAAGTGGATCAGGGAGATGGATGATTGAAAGGTCTCGCGAGGTCAGCATTTCTCATGTGACCTTCATAGTCAAGGCGGGGGATAGAGGATTTTTTTTTTTTTATCTTGCTTGATCCCCTGCTTGTATTGGGCAAATTAACACCAACGTTTTCCTGTCATTGTAAAAATACGTCTTAGGCTAGAACTGGGGGCTGGTCCCATTTTCCTGCTGATCCAAAGAAAGACAGCCTATTTTCAGGCCAGAGTTCCATTTTTGCCTTCCGAATTTTGATTTCCTGGAAGGAGCTAGTCACTTGGGGACGTATGTTATTGGCTGTTAGTTTTTCTTGCTCTCTGCAGTGGGAAGGTTCAGGCTGAAGGTTCAGGCAATGATTTAGAACCGAACAGGGGACCCCCGGGGCCTGGGGTGTGTGCAAGCTTCAGGGAGGGTACTGAGAACGTTAGATGGGTGCACTCATTGGAATACAATGCGCGTTGAATTTCCATAGCAGCTCCGAGGTGGATGCACTACTCTGCTGTCACAAAAGATGATCCTTTCATTGTCTCACATGCAAATTCAAGATGAGAATCGGGGCAGAACATTTGCTATATGAACCACTTTTTCTTTAGCTTTGAATTCAGTGTCTCTTCCTGAGAGGAGGGGCCCCCCGGGGGCTCCAGGGCCTTGCACACAATATCTGCTCAGTAAATACGTCAAGCCGTGTTATTTCCTTTACATTCCTAAAGGCCTGTGACATTTCAAGAAGAGGGAAGTGGACTCCCTGTTTTGAGGGGGGAGTGACAAGGTTCTGGAAATCAGAGACAGCACAGAACCATTTTGTCCCTGTGGCCTTCCTGAACGGCATCCGCTGATGACATTTTGGGCCGGATAATTCTTTGCTCTGGGGTCCTGTCCTGTTTTTTGTCAGATATTTAGCAGCATCCCTGGCCTCCACCCACCGATGCCTCTAGCACCCCGCTCCCAGTTATGACCTTAGGAAGGCACGCTGGACTGCGGTACCTAATGCAGTGTTCTTGTCCTGTGTCGCCGCTTGTCGCTACTCATGTTTATGTTGGACTATTTCATTTTATTTATTTTTTAATTATTTTTGCTGCAGATGTTTCTCCTTTTGCCCCCATTGACACCCACCTCCCCACTCCCCATCCACTCCCCTTCCACGTATTGCTATGTCCACTGGTTAAACACATATGCATATGAGTTCTTTGGTTTATGTCTTTCCCCCCTCCCCCCTTCCTCTGAGGATCGCAGTCTGATCCCTACTTCCATGTCTCTGGGTCTGTTTTGTTCATCAGCTTGTTTTGCTCTTCCATTCCCCAAGGACTATTTTATAGTAATGAGGTTGGAAGTTTTGTTTTCTCCCGCGTTGATGCTTCGTAGACACCAAAGGAGCGGAGGCCGAAGAGTCGGCCATTTCCCGGTGCTGGGTGCGGTCTCTGGTCCTTGGCTTCTCCTTTCAGAGCAAATGCTCATCATCACACGACTGCCACCAAGAGTCGCGATTTGATAAACTGCTCCCTGGCGTTCATTTTGTGCTAGGCACTTTTACATGACGTTTCTAATTTTTATAGCAATCCGAAAGGGAAGTGTTGTTTAGTCATTTCAAGAGGTTCACATACCGTATCAAAACTAGTGAGAGACAGCCCTGGCCGGTTTGGCTCAGCGGTAGAGCGTCGGCCTGTGGTCCAGAGAGACCCGGGTTCGGTTCCCGCTAAGGACACGTACCTCGGTTGCAGTTTGTCCCCGGCCCTGGTTGGGGTCATGTGGGTGGCAACCACTCGATGTGTCCTTTTCACGTCAATGTTTCTCCCTCTCTCTCTCCCTCCCCACTCTATCTGAACAAAAAATTGAAAAATGTCCTCACATGAGGATAAAAACAAACAAACAAACGAGTGAGAGACAGATCCAGGATTTGAAACCAGTTATATCTGACTTCAGAGTCTATTGGTTCTCCTTTCCTTGCTGTCCTGCCCATGGAAGGTGGACAACCTTAGACAACCCTTTTATGCAAAATGCATCACTGCAGTAAGATGCAAGTGTAGAGCAGGGGCCGGGCCCCCACCAGACTGCGGGAATCAGTTGCAGCCCATCTCTGCAAGAGAGACGGTAACGTAGCCCATGTCCCAGCCAGCCGCACCCGGAGGCCAGGTTCATGAGGGCATAGCCCGTCAGCCCAGAAGGGGCTGTCCAGAGAGCTGCGGAGCCACACTGCCATCTTCCCGTGTCAGGCTGTGCAAAGGGTCTATGCGGGGACGATCCATCTCCCTGCATAGACCGGGGCATCAGAGGCACAGAGGACCCCCGCGGCCCCTCTGCCAGGATCCACGTCAGACGGGACGCTCATGCCCAAGGTGGAGCTCATGACTGCACAGCTGAGATGGCCCTTTGTGGGCCAGTGGGTATAAAAACCCCTCTCTATTTATAAACCTCGTGCAGCACAGGCCCAGATGAGCTGGTTTCCACTTTGCGAAGGATTGCTTTCATCTCCTGCAAAGGATGCTTCGAAGTCTCAGGTGTTAGCAGGACAGGGAGGAGAGAAGGGGGAGACAGGGATGGTTCTGGGAACGCAGCAGGCTTTGCCGTGCCGGATGGGGTGCCGTCCTCTGCATGGAGGCTGGCCGGGCTGCTCAGATGTGCAGAATGAGTGTTTTCCGTTTCACCACGTAAGCCAGTGCCATCTGACTGTGTATCTCCGCATCCTGCCGCCTCTGATGCTGACAGGACCTATTCTGTGCGAAAAGCATCTCCAGGGACAGCGAGAAGCTTGCCATGCCTACCAGCTCTCTGGACGCAAATCCGGCGTCGTGTCTCAGAACCACAAACTCAGGAAGCCCCTTTGACCCCATGATCCCATTTCAATTCTGAGCAAATAACCAGCAATGCAGACACAGATACATGCACAAAGACCTTCTCAGCTGAGTTA